CTCTTCCAATCCTTGGGCGAGTGGTGATCATAAAACAAATATAATCTCATACGATCTTCGTATAGTTCTTGTGCATATTGCAATTGAAGTTTCAACTTCCACATACGAATCTGTCACGTGATTTACCACCGCCGGTACAACGCACAACACGACACGAAATTTAGAGCTATATGAAAGTTGCATGCCCATATATGGGCATGCAACAAAAACTGCACGAATGAGTTTTTCAATGTCGACCAAAATTGAAATCTTTGAAAACCAAACTATGCAAACCAAGCATCACGCTTGGACAGGAAAGGGTTATTTTCATAAGAAAATTGCAAAATTGAATTTACTATTCACTTTCATATTATATTTCCTATCATCGATATCACTACATAGCGCATTATCAATCTACCTGTCGAAGACTGCAGACTGGCAGTCGAAAGCTTGTAACAAATAAATATTTTTAACCAGAGAACATTTACACAATTTACTGTCTAATAGTTTAAAGTCTTGGTGCGTTCACATTCAACACTATATTTCTATTCACTAAATTCAAAATCACTGATGAGATACTGTACCAATATTTCTTAGCTCGTTTCTTTCTTAGCTCGTTTAATATGCAATTAAATTGTCCGCCATATCACGTCAAATTGCATCATAGCATTCTAAAAGAACTTTTACAACTCCAATGTAGGCTAATATTTAAAATCTGACTATGAGGACTGGAATAGTTTTCAAGTCCTGAGCAATTTGACCCAGTCCGATGCGAAACGGAGGACTGGGTCAAAATGCTAACGCTTGAAATCTAGTCCAGTTCAAATTGGAGGACTACTAAAGATGAGGTATATAATCTTTATCCAGCCCAAGGGCTGACTTAATTTCGATATAAATAAAGTAATATGGTTGCTAATTAATTCACGAATTATTAATGAGTTTGAGATAGATAAATGATTAACTGAAATATTTTGATAGCATAACACATAATTTTATGATTTTGACGCACGATATCTCAAGATTTTGAAGACATTATGCAATATTATACCTCAAATTCAAATTGTCCAACCAGGAAGCTTAGTTTGTGCCACGTGAGCATGAAATTAATCGCGATATCACGCCTTACGTCATCAATTAGCAAGCCTGCGTTCCTTTTGGCAATGTTCCACCCCATGTTCCCCGGGGAACATGGGGTGGAACATTATTCGCGTAGACCGCGCGAGACAACACGCATGACAAAAACATGGCCGACAAAATATAAATAGTATTGATGAGTGATGAATTTTAAACGTAAAACCTGGGGCTTTTTCAAAATAAACGTAAAACCTGGGGCTTTTTCAAAATTTTGAATCAAATTTTAAACGTAAAACCTGGGGCTTTTTCAAAATTTTGAAGCAAATTTTGAAAAATATTGTCATTAATATTCCAAACGATATGTGATTCGAAAGAAAATCGACGAATACTTGCGTTAATCCGAAAATAAAACATCGTATTCACGAAGGTATGTGTCAAGTTTTTAATTCTCAACTTGGGGCTTTTAATTTTCGGTATAATATATCATCTATAGACCCTCCGCTCGGGGAATTCGGCGAAATATTACCCTCAGTGATGATATTTATCACTGAGGATAATGATATCATCACTTCAGGTAATATTTCCCCGAATCCCCCTCGCTCCAGGTCTATAAATGATAAATGTGACGTGATAGTGAGGATAATTTGAATATAAAAAATTGTCTTCATTGCATATTTGCATTGCAAGTTGGACGAAAACTTGTATTGTGTAAAGTACTTATGCGACGAAATTTCACAGTAGTTTTTCATTATTGCACGATAAAGAAAATTCAAAATGTCCATGTTTCTTTATTTTAAAGTTGTTCTTATTTAAATATATCTCAAGAACGAAGCAAACTTCAAGAACGAAGAATCTTAGAATTATTCGGGTCATTTTCGACATTCTTCACCGTGCAATATTGAAAATATAGTGTGAAATCATGTGAAAAATATCAATATCTCAAGAACAACTTTAAATTAATATATATGGACATTTTGAATTTTCTTTATCATGCAATAATGAAAAAATACTGTGAAATTTCGTCGCATAAGTACTTTAACCAATACAAGTTGCAATGCAATTTCGGACATAGAGCGATTTGACTTCATCTACCGCTACCATAGACCACTAGTATAACTAATAATATGCGTTTGATATAACCGATTAACCAATCAGATGCATATATACTAAGTGAAAGGTACATTCAGTAGTGGTAGAGGGAAGTCAAATCTGAACCTAGTTCTCTATTAAGTTAAAAGTAGGTATGAATCTCAATGAGCATGTGCACCAGGTATGTTATGCCAAACCTTGCGTTGCAATAAATAATATCTGGAATAGTTTAAACGAAACGTTAGGCATGCAAGTAAAGTAGCTAGATATTCGGGCTTCAATTCTTATAACAAAAATTCGTTTCCCGCCTGGGAAATATCTTAAAAGATGCGAAAACATTTTGAAGGTAATGCAGGCCGTGTTGTGCTCGTGAATTTCTTCCCTGTTCTCATATATATATACTGAATAAAAATTTAGGGAATGTTGGCGATGTCATAGATGTTATTGAAAACGATGCTACATCTTTTGACATTTTGGGAGAAGAAGGACAGCCGGGCTGGTTTGAGAAGATATTGGCACTGGTAAGAAATTAATGAATTTCAATTATTTTACCTAAAACACCATGATACGCAGATCCGAATTGTTTTTTATCGATTGAATTTAAGGTCGCACATACAGAAGTTTTAATTTGGGGCATTCCATTGTTGAAGTGCCAACTTTGGTATCAACAAGGCGAGACTTTTTTCTATTTATTGGTTTACGGACTTGACTTTAAAAATAAGAGGTCGGTAGGTCGGAAAAATTTTTTAAAAAACCCGAACTGAGTATAAATGAGAACCGAAATTAATAATCTTTATAAAATTTTTTAACGTCAATTTAAAAAAAAGCGCTAAAACGTGGCTAATCTACATATTGATTGTCACAACGATTACATGAGCCAGCAGTACCTAGTGTCAAAGTTCACTTGAAGTGTACTTCATGTCAGAACCCCAAATTAATTATAATTAACTAAAATTGTAAATTTTTTGACATCCAAGTTTTTTTTTAATTTTTCACTTTCTGAATATTTACGGTCGGCGGATCCGTAAACCAATGAATAAAAAAAGTCTCGCCCAAGTTGTGAGTGACAACCTTTTAGCAAATTGATAAAATAACAATATTGTTACAACTTGTTGACAAGCTTGCTACAAGCCTGTTGCGAACACATCTTGTTGACAAGTTGTGAGATTTTACGTGTGTAGCTATATAACTACTTGCGTTTGGTTCTCTAAATTTAGCAGTCAGTCTGAAAATATGAGTGATTCTCTTGACATGTTTTGACATATTGGAAACAGAGCATGCTCAACAGAAATCACACACAAAAACGGCAGAGCCTTATTTTCTACGCGAGTGGAAATCAGGCTCGGCTGTCAGGGTAGTTTTCACACGTTATCCGTATATTTATTTCTATAACTTGCTTGAATCTTCCAGCAAAAGAAATTGGATATATGTACAGTATATGCAGTATATATAGTTACCCGTTATATTTTCACATTTGTTAATTTGATCATGCATGTCTATAAATATTTTGCCGGATTGTCGATTTGTGCATCTTATTTCACTCGTTAAAAATGTTGTAATCTCAAGTTAATATATGCTTAATACAGTGGCGTAGCCAGCTCGATAAGTAGGGTTGGGGGACATATTCATATATTCGTGTTCTGCACTATTAATTTCTTTTGAAATTGATTGTTTTTACGGTCTGTGAATACGAATATATGAATATGTCCCCCTCCCACTTATCGAGCTGGATACGCCACTGGCTTAATATTAACTTTTAAGGGAGAAAAAATGGGAAAAGAACCTAAAAATAACGACCAGGGTTTCGTTGGAAGTGATAACTTAAGTGAAAAAAGAGAATTTCATCCTGATTTCGCAAAACGAGGGAAAAGTGAGTATACTGTATAATAATTATCAAGTAAATATTTTCCGTACCTTATTTATGAAAACGTCCACCATACAAACACGCCAATTGAATGTAAGTCCAGAAATTTTAGTCCTAAGGAGAATTTAGTCCAATTTTATCCCAGAAGGGTCGCTGAAATAAAAACTGTTGATCGTCGAGGAACGGTAATGATGCACTATTTAAAATCTTCTCTAACACTATTTTTCCGCTATTAAAATTGTTTATGTGTATGTTTCACCCATGCATGTCATTGTCAGTTAATGCGGATTATCCAAAGAAATCCACCAACGAAACATAGTTTTTGTCGCAAAATTTCTATACCATAAATTTTCTTTTCTTTAGTTCCTTATTTAGCTCAAACGAAATTATCAGATGCTTTCAATAAAATTGGCCCAGAAGCGGATGGGGCTAAAACTGGTTTGGCAAAGATAAATGAAAAATGGAATGAAATGTCATCTGATGATAGAACAGCTATTGTCAGAGCAGTCCGGGCCTCTGCAGCCATGTTTGACAAGTTTGCTAAAGCCGACGAAGATCCCGTGGGGGCAGTAAGAGCAACCATTGACATAGTTTCCCAGTTCACAGCATTAGCTGGACCAAAAGGTCAAATTATCTCAGTTGCTTTAAGCTTCGTATCAGGGTTTCTTGCCCTTTTCGGGGTAGGGAAATCAAAAACGCAAAAACCGGATTTCAGTAAAATTGTTCGAAAAGAAATCGATGCCGCCCTTGATAAATATTACGACAAAGTTCTCAATGATGAAATTGCTGGATGTCTTAACAATTTCGTGATTTCTAAAGCATATGTAGATAGCCTTTCTAAGTCTGGTGGGAAATTGACTGAACATCAAGCCCTCTCCCTTAAAGTGCACGTTCCCTTGTGGAACGGTCTCAAATTACTCGGAAAACTTGAGCATAGAATTAAGGCATTGTTGAAGGAAAACAAAAGAGAAACTGTGGAAAAACTTCTCAAATATATAGAGTTGTACACAAGGCTTGCTATTCTTAAAGACATGATTTTGTTGCAGTCCATTGCCCTGCTTCCTGATCAACGTAATCGAGCTGCATTACTTTCAGCGCAATTGGCGCTACGTAGGAAGCAGAAATCACTCCTTCAATTTCTCTTTAATGCTAAACTGGACAGTAAGCTAGCTGTTCGATACTTTGATCCTGATACATACCCTGTCACTGATAAGTACCTGAGTGCTTTACTCAAAGTCCCGGATTTCGATAGATCATTGGCCGGTAAATGGTGCATAACAAAGAAGGGTCGGGGGTGGTATCCCACAAATTATGCGCTAGGGTTCTTTATGAGGTATCGGCAATTGATGCTAAATGGTCACCCATACGTTAAGAGTGGTGGTATTACATGTAATTGGAAAGTTGTCCCCCACGGGAATAACCTTTATACCATTTCTCTGACATGGGGGTGTCCTCGAGGTCCGTTTTGTGGTCAGTACATGTCACACGATCTGGTTGGAGACAGATTAAGAGTAACAGTAGAACCTGACGCCGACTTCTGGGAAATAACTGGAAAAGGGTTAAAACAGTAAGTTTAATTTCTCATTAAAATTTAGTTGAAAAACTCTTTGCATATCAAATCGTTGGAGGCATTCTATATTGTTTCCTGCTTGGATTGATATTATTTCAAAGGATTTTGAAATATTTCAATAATACTCCGGGCCCCGTTAACAAATAGTTGTACGTCGTATTCAGCCAGATAGATAGATATAGCCAGAATATGTAGACTGTGTAGTTTTTTACATCAAAACGTTGCCGCTGCAACCTATTACATCCAAGAGGTGTCATCAGGTGGTTCATGATGATTCCTCTTGGATGAAACAGGCTGTAATGGCGGGAAAATTTTGAGGTGAAAAAATCAATGGTATGCATATGCAGGGATTGACATGCGTTCTGATGCTTATTTCTACTTTAGCCATTATGTTCTAACTCTTCCGTTTGGTTTAGCGAATCTCCGGTTTGGCCCTCATTCCTCTTATTTTTCCTATTTTGAGTGCGAATCTTCTTCATTTAATTTAAAAATGATTTATTTATCTCTTAATTACAAACTTATGTCAAGCAATCACCCATTTAAAATAAATTAAATGAGGATTTAATATAAGAAAATAAATCGAGGATATAATATAGTAAAAAACACATTTTTTTAAAGTGCGGTAAAACGTTCTGCGCTATACGAATTATACTGACAACTCAGTAATTTTTGACAGAATACGAAGCAAATGGGGCTGTGATACAGGAAACAAATGGTGCAATACTGAACCGTCTTTCCAAAATGAATATGTAAAACGTCCCGGTAGATATGTTCCTGAACGGCCAATATTGGTCGCTTATTTATCATCATATCATCGTAGTGGTTTCTCGTGGGAATTCACAAGAAGATAATCGGAATTGGGTAACTATATTTAACAATGTTTAAAGGCTGTTTTCCACTTCAACCGTATTGTAGCATTTTCCTTTGTGTTGAAGTCATTAGTTCCCCTCTAGTGCTCAGGAAATACGCTACGCTTCAAGGCCGTTTTCCTCTTCAAGCGTATAAATATATATATATATATATATATATATATATATATATATATATATATATATATATATATATATATATATATATATATATATATATAGTACAATCTGCAGACATGCATGTTTCGGCGTTCAACGCATCGTCAGTGCAGCTTGGTACACGTCTAGATTAACTTGCTCTCACCTAAGGAGACTTTAACTTGCTCTCACCAAAGCATGTGGTACAACACGGTGACTCAATGCATCCAGACATGCGCAGAGCGTAATGGGGCCAGAGTGCTCAAACGACCACAAGGGAAGTGAGCTTTGCATTATCGCTAATAGACACCCATTAACAACTCCGCAGAGTGCTCAACAACACCGAAGTGAAGGAGCTTAATAGTACAATCTGCAGACATGCATGTTTCGGCGTTCAACGCCTCGTCAGTGCAGCTTGGTACACGTCTAGATACGTGAGACACTCGTATTTATACCCCATGAACTTGTTCTCACCAAGGCATGTGGTACAACACGGTGACTCAACGCATCCAGACATGCGCAGAGCGTAATGGGGCCAGAGTGCTCAAACGACCACAAGGGAAGTGAGCTTTGCATTATCGCTAATAGACACCCATTAACAACTCCGCAGAGTGCTCAACAACACCGAAGTGAAGGAGCGTAATATATATATATATATATATATATATATATATATATATATATATATATATATATATATATATATATATATATATATATATATATATATATCTTGGCTTTTATTTTGCTTTAGGTTGCATAAATTAGATCTCATTTGCCGGGTTTTGAGTGTATATAAGAGCAGATAATCGATCACACACTCAAATCCCTTCATATTATTACACATGACAGAGCGATTTCAAACTCTTTCTCCGTGAAAACAATACGGCCAAGCATTATAATTCACTAGTTTTACTGAAATATGCTCGCATAGATCCACTATTATGAAAACTGAATGCACTTGTATCAGACTAAGCGGACCAGCAGGAGATTTCCAATGCCCATCCAGATTTTTTAGTCGAACACGAGTTGTCTTCTGCGATTTTTCCTGCTGAAACCAGAAGTTGCTTGAAGCTAACGAATGCGTTATATCATTCTATGATAGTTGTAGAAGAATGGTTTTGCTGGAAAATATTTCAATGTAATTAAAACTGAGTTGTTGTCATTCGCTTCGGGTTACAAAAGCCGGTTCGCGTCAGCTACGTTTTGCGATTTTTCCTGACAAAACCACAAATGTTTTAAGATCTTGTTTACTTTATACCATTCAGTATAATGTTGTAGTGAATGAATTTTAGAGATTAGGGAGCTACAACAGGTATTTTGCTTTACACAGCGAAATATAATATTGCCGATCACTTATGATAATATGGCGCAGCGTGAATTTACGTCTTGATCGTCTGTCTTTTGCGATTTTTCCTGCACGCACACAATGGTGAATCGCAATGAAAACCGCGTCAAATGAAGCGCACAATAATGTAGATGAATGAAAATCTTTACGGTATGGGCTGCATTAAAACTGTTGCAGTGGTTTAGCGATTTGTGCAGATTATCACTGTTTTAGTGCGAATCTGAAAATGAATGTGAAACTACGGGAAATTTCAACATGGAACAATCAAATCCGGGGGGTCAGTCATTTTATCATTCTACATATAAAACGATTTCAAGTACTTTTTCCGCGAAAAAAATACGGCCAAACATTACAATTTTTTCATATGTTGGCATGGATCCACTATTAAGTAAAAAATGCATTATATCAGACTGAGCGGACTTGTAGGAGGGTTCCAATGGCCACCCGGATTTTTGAGTCCAGCACGAGTTCCAACGAGTTGTCTTTTGAGATTTTTCCTGCTCAAACTAGAAGTTGTTTGAAGCTAACGAGTGCGTTATATCATTCTATGATAGTTGTAGAAGAATGGATTTGCTGGAAAATATTTCAATGTAAACGTGTGATGCGTGAGAAGTATTTATTCTCTCAGCTGCGTTGTTGTCATTCGCTTCGGGTTACAAAAGCCGGTTCGCGTCAGCTACGTTTTGCGATTTTTCCTGACAAAACGACAAACGTTTCCAGGATCTTGTTTACTTTATACCATTCAGTATAATGTAGTAGTGAATGAATTTCAGAGATTAGGGAGCTACAACGGGTATTTTGCTTTAGACAGAGAAATATAATATTGCCGATCACTTGCGACAATATGGCGCAGCATGAATTCACGTCTTGATAGTTTATCTTTTGCGATTTTTCCTGACTTCACATTTCGCGCTAAAGCCTTCAAAATACATTTGTTCAATGCGTAATGTTCTGAAGAAAAACGAAATTCGTTAACAAGTTTATTGCGCAGAAATAAACTGAGTAATTCGATATTTTATACGCCAGACACCTGATCTATTTTCATATGTTTATTGCGCAGAAATAAACTGAGTAATTCGATATTTTATACGCCAGACACCTGATCTATTTTCATATTTGAATCTGAATGTGAATCTGAAACTGCGAATCTGAAACTGCGAATCTGAAACTGTAAAGCCGACCGTTCCAACAACGGCGGAATCTGAAACTGTAAAGCCGACCGTTCCAACAACGGCGACTGCTACACCAAGCCACTATTTTCTACGAGATCCATCAAGGCCTTGTTGGAATCAGTCTTCCTGATGACACGTGCATGTGTTCTTTGACTATAGCATCCAGGCTGCCTAATATATTTCCAGTTACCGCCAAATTCAGTCATGTGTATGTATACAACTTTTCATTTTGTCCAAGAACAATCGTTACCTGGAATCACATCCCATTTGACAATCTTTGCCAATCAACTCAAGTTTCAAATCACTTGCCATGCCTTCAATTAAGTCACTTAATGAAGCTAATTAGTATCGTTTTGAATCGTTTGTATTGTACTATATGTTCGTTTTGAATAGTGTTCAGTGTTGTTGTCATTGTCGTTGTCGTTTTTGCCGTTGTTGTTGTTAATAGCATATAACAACACCATACCGCCTAATATATGTGTCATACAGTGATTACGAAGTCTAGTCTTGTACATGTAAATTACTATAATCCGGCCCCGAGCCGACGGCGCGCGAGAGTACTAATTCCCCCCCCCCCGGCTATTTACACCCGGGGAAACGAAAGCATTAGCGAAGTCTAAAGTTCATCAATGATCGCGGGCGTGGCTCACCAACGATGTTTCGGTGAGTGGTCATCCTCACTGATCTCAAAAATATGGCGGACTGTCATGAATAGCGGACACTAATTGGTCTAATTTAAAGTTTGCATTATAACGACTGCATGACGACAGCGTCGAAATAGCAAACATTTCTTGATTTGATGATTGATAAATTTCTTGCAAATATATTTCATTTTTGCTCGCATGTTTGCAAGATTTTGTAAATTTTATAAATGGTTTTGTCAGCAAGGCGAGGGTTTCTGCATGCATGTACTTTCTAGTTAAATATTATCTAGTTTTTCAGTATATATCCTCACCTAGTGTAGTATAATACTGTTTTAGGAGTACTTCATTAAGGGCCTGTTTATATGATCCCGGCCAGGCGGGACGGAATGCTTACCGAGATCCCACTCGTAATACAAATTCTAAAGAGTGTTTATATGATCCCGCCACTTATCCCGCCTAGACGGGATCTCGGGAACAGGTACCGCGATCCCGCCTAAGCGAGATGAAGAATTCCCATATAAACACTTTATCCCGCCTAGCCGGGACGAAAAATTTCCATATAAACACTTCATCCCGGCTGGGCGGGATGAATTTTTTTCTTTTGAGCATGCGTAAATGCCTTTATTGCAACAAAAATATGACGTCAAGCACTTAAATGGCTTCATCCCGGCAATGTATTTGTCCATATAAACACTAGGCGAGTATCCCGTCTAGGCGGGATGAAAACGTCCCGTCCCGTCTTGGCGGGATCATATAAACAAGCTCTAAAGCATTAAAGTATTAAAAGAAATGAAAATGCATCATTTTCAATGACTATTTTTCGACACATGCATTATCACATTAACACAGTCCAGTAGCCTAGGGACGAAAATAGATCCTGCAATCAAACTCTAACTGGTGTATATAACTCTGGCAAATATTGTTCCAATACTTTTTGAATTTGACTCATCAATAGCTATTGTATAGTCTTGACAATTTCTGCTTCATATACATGCTTAATTGTTCGGCAACTTTAGCCTGAGTGTCAAGCACTATTTTCCATTTCTTAAATGCAGGCGGAGGGAAGGGAGAAAAGGTATTGAAACAAATCCCTGTCTGGTCGCATGTAAAAAAGCAAAAATCAGGACAATTTTGTATTGTTGTGTGGATATAACGCTTCATTACATTTGAATATTGATTTCTTCGTGAATTATTATTAATTAACAATGAGTTTTACGAAGGTATAGTAATATATATAAGATAGCAAAACTTCTGCAGTCAAACGTTATTCCGGCTCTTGAGTGACATAATATAACTCAATCAGTAACTGACGGAAAGAATGGAGGTTAGCATTGAAACAATAGTAGAATACCCAGGTTGAGCAATGAGCATGCATGATATGAAGAATTAGCAAGGCTGAGGTTGATGACACAAGAGGGCTTAATAATTCTTCATATCTTGCAAAAACAGAATGAATTCAACAAATGTTTGTTTTATTATTTATTGAAGATGTTTCAAAACCTTTTGTGGCTGTTTTCGTCAGGGGCGGATTTTCTGGGGGGGTGCAGGGGGGTGCGCACCCCCCCAAAATTTTCTAGCACCCCCCCAGAAAAATTCGAAAATGGCGTGCATACTGTAGGTTATTATTATTATAACCTTTATTTAAAGAAAATTATACATTTAGCAGTAAGAGTACAACTTACTGATAACTTCAACAAATGCAATTATATCATATGTTATACTAAGACAAGTATTTTTAATTTATAAAACTAAATATACTACGTAAAAATGTCTAAAGATTAAATATCCAAACGCATATTCAATTTTAATAAAAAGACCAGATAAAAAGCTACGACTAAACTAAACTTTCGTGAAAAAACAATTAGGTAGAATACTAAGCCTAAAAATTCAGTGAAAAGGCCAAGTATAATACTGTAAATCTAAGCTACGAGCGCAAGTCTAATTTTGGCGTGTGAAACGGCTGAATCGAAACCGAGAACAGTGGCAGAAGACGAACAAAGTCAAAGTGAATTTCCAGATCGTTGGTGAGGTTCTGACCAACTTTTAATTTTAAAAGTGTATGAACCGGAGAGAGACAATAAAATATGAAAACTTTGTGCTTCGACTTTCTGTTGTTTTGTGAAACACCAGAAATCAGAAGTTCATAAAAATTGCTACGAGAAATGGAAGGCAAAGGTCCGAATATCAGATGGACAAGATACAAGTATACTCGCGAAACTGGTTCCCGACCAAGCGAAAACAACTCGAAACAACAGAGAGTACTTTAATTTAAACTTCTGTTCCAGTATGTAATTTGGTTTGCAATGAACGAAATAACATTCCTGGACCATGACGAGGCGGCTGATTCGAAGAACCCAGGTAACTGGAGAACTTTTATAAAGATGCAACTGAAGACCAACAAGGAGTTTCGAAGTCTCACCAAGCGATAACAGATAATTAAAAGGTTTCTTGTGGACTACACTAGTAAAACGTCTCTCAATGAAATGCTGTCTATACTGGCGGTTCAGATACGGAACTAGATATGCCATCAGATCGCTACTGCCGAGTGCTTCAGTACACTGATCGACGAAAGCAAAGACAAGGGCAAGAGAGAAGAGCTTGCTTTCTCTGTTCGCTACTACACTACAAGATCAGACAAGAGTAAGAATCACTCCACAGAAAAATTTATCCTAGCAAACAAGTTAAACATATTACGCAGCAAATCGATGTTCATTGGGGATGCAAATACGAAGCCTATTAAGTGATCTTTTATGCATTTCGTTAAACAGAGATGTTGTTGATTTGCTGGATTTGGACGAAGTCGTAACAGCATGGGGAAACATGCGCAATAGGTGGTCTAAAATCTAAGTAATTAACTGACTAACTAGTCTACCTGTATAAAATGTATAATGTACTTATTACGAAATTGAAAACTTAAAAAACTATTCATTATTTAATTTATTTATTAAAAACTTTGTTAGTTTGTTACTATAATACTATACGATTTTCATGAATTTGAAATATTCTCAGGAAGCTACGGAAAAGCTATACGACTATATTATTTTGGTTTATACTACTATTCATTAATAATTATTAAATAAAGAATAATAATACTTTGCAAATATACTGTGTGCATTAATTTAACAAGCTACTAAAGTACTAGCCGGGAATTTGAGCATTTTATGTCCATCCTAGCTCAGGGACTTAAATGCTTGATCAGTTGATCACATGGGAGGGGTCACAAAACAGGGGTCATGGCGATATGCCTAAAAATATACACAACAGCCCGGTCAGCACGGTAGCGGCAGCGCACCAATGCACCCCCCCAGGGAAATCTGCACCCCTCCTGTCAGATCAGTATTGATCCGCCCCTGGTTTTCGTCCTTTAATTAAACCAGCAAACACGGCCGAAGGCAACGTAATATTTTTCTGATCGTATTTCCACATTTCCACAGCATGATGTCATAACGTTGAATATGTTTTCTATAGTCAACGTTATGACGTCACTCCGTTGAATATAAGAGACCTTACGATTTTTTTAGGACGGCAACGCGACGGCGACGGCCAAAACAAACTCCTTCAAATAAATGGTATAGTAAAGATAGTTCGTGGTATATTATCAATCGTATGAATTTAATACAGTTTTAGAAGTTGAAGGCATGGATTTATTGTTGGGAAGAGTTCTGCTATACCCAGTGTGAAGTTGCACTTGTTGCGGTTTGGATTGGCGGGAATGCAGCCGTTGTATCAAGACGTGAAAATATGTGATTTGGCGTCAATGATCTATTGTATTGGTAGCCGTTACCGTCGCGTTGCCGTCCTAAAATCGTAAGGTCTCTATTATGTCAATTGATACGACGATTTCACAGTTGGCTTTAAGGCCAATCAGAAACTATGAACCTTTTAAATAAATAATAATACGCATTAATTGATATTTTCCCTTATTGTAGGCGTTAAATATTACAGATTTTCACTCTCCTGGGCGCGAATCCTTCCTAACGGTACAGTAGATAACGTGAACGCCAAAGGTATAGAATACTACAACAACTTGATTGATGAATTGTTGAAAAATGGAATCAACCCATGGTTACTTTGTACCACTGGGATTTACCACAAGACTTGGACGATATTGGAGGGTGGCTAAACGTTACTATCAGCGATATTTTCAGGTATAAAAATCAACCCAATACCACTGTAAATGTTTTTCGTCAATTTCCGATATAACTTCATAATTCACATGCAGCGATTCTTCGGCGTTATAAAATATTCTCAATCTAATTGTCAACTCAAATTGCAATCGGATTATCGAAACCCTGCCCAGATAACAACGCACAAGTTGTTACTTGTTACCGATCTGGCCTCTTACATATATCGGCTTGACAAGAACAAGATTGTTGTCAGACCGATGATCAGGATGTTTCCTCGCTCAGTATTTGTTCCAAGTTGTTGTGACAATTAAGTCTATATATTCTAGAACAAGTTAATTGTTATCACTTCGTCACAATTTGTTTCGAGCCTGTTGGCATCATCAACCATAGCTTGTTACAAAACGATCGACTTGTTCCAGACTAGTCAACAACTCTGAGCAAGCAGTGCGAATACATCTTGTTTACAAGCTGCATGTGAGGTTTGTAACGTAACGAGGCAATTTATGTCGCAACTTGCAACCCGTGCGAAATTTCGGACATACAGACATAGAGCTATGTAACATAGCCTATGTTATCTGAAATGTAGTTCGAGGAGACCCGCATTCTATACTCTGGGAATGTTTTCTTCAAGTATAATATCAATATTAACATTATAAGGGATAACAATGATAGAAATCCCATGAAACATGTCGGCAGTGTGCATTGTGGGCTATGCTCAGAATTTCGGCCCTACGGCTACTTTCTACAAAACTTGCTGTGCGATTGACGAAAATCATCTAAAATATTTTGTGATATTTTCTGTTGGTTAATTTTCGGCGAATGAATTTTAGTTCGTTCCGAGTTTTAGTACATCTTATCCTAGTGGTTTCTTCGTCGATCACAAAGTAATTCAGTATTTGTTAAGACGGCGAGTTTAACGAAACACGTTACAGAAAAATGAATGTTCCAATTGGTAATTTCTTAGTGATTATGCAAGAGTTTGCTTCAAGAATTTTGGTGACCGAGTGAAATTTTGGGCTACTTTGAACGAACCTTGGGTTTCTGCTATCATTGGTTATGGCACTGGTAAACACGCTCCTGGTATTAAACGGATCAAAGCAGGACCTTACCTAGGTACTGATGTTATTTATTAACATATAGCGAGGAGGGGTTGGGGGTTGGCACCTGATGACTTCAAGGATCATATTTGCCTCGCACCATTGGCGCTTCGCAGAGCTCCTAGGCTCATTTTTTCCTCCTTAAAGGATTAGTGTCACACCAGGAATTCGCGGGCTCAAATTCCTGTTGGCGGCCATTTTTCGGGACGAATAGACTAGATGATGTGGAAAGTGTTTACAATCCGTCATATATTTAAACCATCCTTTTATAATCCTTGCTCTTTTTGTCTGATTCTTATCAGAAATGTACCAATCAAGGTATTTTTATCGCTATTTGTTGTATTTGAGTAAAATGTAAACAATAACAAAAGCCCGCAATGCATGATCCTAACACTAATCCTTTAATCAAAAACACATTCACATACTACCCTAACTTCGACATAATGCGTGTAGTAGCCAGTGACCTTTATATAAATTTGGAGTTAATTCTTGATAAGAATTTCAGTCATCTGACCTGTGAGAAAACATCAGAAAAGTGAATCAGGATGGCGGAAATTGACGTTAAAAATCCGTAAACGTTAACAATTCCATTCTCCCTTCCTAAGTTCCGGTTTTCGCTAACGGATTTTATCGCTAATTAAGTTACCAGGGGCCGGTTGTATAAAACACTTAATCACTTTTTTAATCACTATTTTGTAGTTTAATAGTGATTAACTCTCAAATAGGCGCTTCTTATTGGATGACATTTCCACTTAATTATGATTAACTTTAGTCACATTTTTATACAACCGGTCCCAGTTCATTAAACCAAAATGTTATTTTTTAGATCAAAGCCAAAACACGATGCCACGATCGTAGCAGCATTATGTTAGCTGCTCAGACACAACAATAGGGAGGGACTATATAGCACTGAACGTCAAGTTCCGCCATCTTGGGCTTCATGATCACCCGAGTTTGGACACTATATAGTTCTTACTCCAGCTACACATGGAGCTCACTGCATGGTAGTAACTTCTCGCCAAAAGTGTACTAGGCTGGGGGCCAATGTTGCATGGGCATTTGTTCAACCACTGATTTCAATGCTTCGTTCTCGGATATCAGGGCCTCTCTTAACCATATATAGACTGGGGGTGAGGGACAAGTTCTTTCCAGCCCCAATTTGGCCCCTCTAGTGAACTATATTGCCCCCCTCCCAACCCCAAAGTGAAGGTCTATTCTGTCTAAAATATAAGCAAAAAGGGAAGAAGTTAGTTTTAGAAGTTAGTTAGTAATTAAGAGTGTTTTAATACTCCCTTTAATTAACTTTGTCAGCGGATGAAATTCATAAAAAAAGTGTCTAAAACTGCCGAAAATCAAGCCCCAGAGGCTTGAAATTACGAATGTTGTTTGGGGGTGAATCCCAGACCCCTAAAAGATCCATTTCACCACGTCCTAATTCGTGACAAATTCTTAAAAACAGTCCTGTCGGATTTTCTTTAAAAAAACAGCATTTTAAAAGTCTAATTAATGGAAGCTTCAGTTTTGTAAATAGTGCAATATCGGATTACTCAAACGATCAGCATGGTTATTCAATGATAAAGTAAGCTGTCCTTTTATATTATCATTAATTTCGTGTTCATCGATTAAACCCTGCTCCTGTTACCTAAAGGAGTTCCTGTAAGCTTTCAGTAAAGGCTACTAGCTTTCCTCCATTAGAGAGGAGCACTCCTGAATTCGGCATAGGTTACAATAATAGTAGTAGTAGATGGAAATTATCGTCGTGGAAATTTAGATATTCATTTATTTCACCTAACTAGGAACAGCTGCAAAAATGGAACAATAGCTCCCTGGCAGGAATCGAACATGTGGCCCTGCGATTCCTGTGCAGTGCTCTCACCCAATTGAGCTACAGAGTTCAGTTGACTGGCTCTAACCATATGCAAGCAGTTCATGTAAATATTACTGGAGTACTGTCACGTTAGATTGTGGGTAAATATCAAGATTTTGTTGGCATCTCACTCGATATGAGATGCCAACAAAATCTTGATAGTTTGCAATATGCGCAATTTAGCTAGTCGAAGTATGAATTGCGAAGTATAAAATGTATATATTATATAATAGTATAAATTAAAAAGACTAAAAAAAAATATCTCCTTTGGTTTATAGCGGCCCACACCTTATTGCTTGCTCATGGTAAAGCATGGCATGTTTACGATAAAGAATTTCGAGAGACACAGAAAGGGAATGTCTCAATAGTTTTGAATGCCGACTGGCACTTCCCTGAAAACAACGAGGATCTTTATTTGAAGGCGGCAAAACGTGGCATGGAATTTTTCTTGGGTTGGTTCGCAAATCCAATTTATGTTAATGGCGATTACCCTGAAGTGATGAAAACCTTGATAGCGAAACATTCCAAACTGGAAGGAATTCCAAACAGGTATATAAAACTTATTTCCTACATGACGTTTTCAGGTTTTCGTAGGCTATAATTGTATGCCTTGAAATTGATTTTAGAAAATCCAAAATTCAAATCTGTTTCAATGTAATTAAGCAAATCCAAGAAACCACCGTTATAATCAATGATTGTGGGCGTGGGTGACTAACCGTGGGCGGTGAACTCAATATATATATATATATATATATATATATATATATATATATATATATATATATATATATATATATATATATATATATATATATATATATATATGTATATATATATTAATTGTGTTATTGTACACTCTGTAATATGTTAATATGTTAAGATGAAAATGTTCTAGAGTGTGTATTATATAATTTCCATACCCAGCGCAAGCAGAAAGATGTTGTCTGCCGCGGCTGGGTCTTGAACCCGCGACCTTCGAATTACTAGATCGACGCTCTACCAACTGAGCTACACGGTCAGACGGATTTAAGACTGGAAATTATGAAATATATACTGAATGTCATAAACGTACTCGTTTATATTAATTCAGCATCGAACAATACTAGTTCTGCAGAACTATGATCGTGTTCGGGTTGCTTGTTGTGACTGTTGCTTTGTATACTATGCCCTTTATAGTCATGCATTGTTTCTGAAGTGGACATATTGCGTTTTTCGAACAACTGCAATTGACAGTGCCCTTGCCCTGTGCCTTGTTCTTCCTAGCTATATGTGCATTGTGCTTAGTGATTATAGACTTAACATTGCTCATGCAGCCATAACTTACTTTTACTGCATGTATTTCTGTTAAAGATCTTATGCAGCTTGTGGTGCGATGGAAAGTGCTTGTCAATAAGGTTAATTAAGAAAATTACGCCCTATATTAGTGCTGACATTCATGCTAAATGGTGGATTGTACCAAATGATATTACGTTGCCTATTTCTGCGTGCTTGCTGTGGTGCGTGATGAGTGTAGTTAAGGTCATGATATATACCGGGTGGCGCAAAAAAAAGTTCACGCGTTTGATTTAGTACAGCGAAAAAACTATAAGTGTTACATCGCTGAAATAAACGTAGCTGTATTCATAAAAGTCTAACTTAAATTTTGAGCTATAGCATGTTTATTTACGTGCAATATTGACTGGGATATCGCCAAATAAAATTTGGAACGAAGTTTTGAAAATCAGACAAATTGGCTAAAAATGGCCTATTAAACTGTTTTGATAAATTTTAGAATTTCGTCAGACATATTCGCTTGTATGAATTTAATTTGAATTGAAACGTGTAACGAATGATTTTCCTTATTTATTTATTTGTTTTATTATCATTTGAAAAGCAACAAAATTTCGAAAAAGATGGCTCTTTTAATTAAGAATTGCTTCGCAGTATTCCATGTCCCATAGCTATAGGGAATTAAATTAGATCAACAACCGAACAATTTGAGACCGCTTCGTGAAGCGATTATTGCTGATTAATTGCCATAACTTTGACCAGCAAATAAATCCAACGTTCGTTCGATAGTATGGTCACACGTGCAATAATATAGTTATTTAATTTTCCATGATAAACGCGTTATTTACTGCCGTTGTGTTCTTCATATATCGTTAATTCCTTTACTCGTATTTAATAGGCTATTTTCAGCTAATTTTGGAACCTTTTGAAATTGCATATTCAAATTGATTTACCAATATCTGGGGTAATACTAAACAAAAATGCATGTGTTATACATCAAAATTTAAGTTAGGCCTTCCTGGATAGGATAACATTTATTTGAGGAACGTAACACTTATAGTTTTTTCGCTGTACTAAATCAAACGCGTGAACTTTTTTTTGCTCCACCCGGTATATATATATATATATATATATATATATATATATATATATATATATATATATATATATATATATATATATATATATATATATATATATATAAATATAAATGTTGTGGTTTCCCACGTTTACGATTCCACCCGTGTAACGTTATGTAGTGGTTTTTGAGTTATTTGAGTGGTTTTTGAGTTAAAACAAGAACTTCCTCAGGCATAAAAAGGTATAATGACTATAACCCAGACGTTTCGCAGGTTAAGGCTTCTTCAGTGGGTGAAAAATTTACAACAATATTAAGGCGTCTTTTATACATGTCGTCCTAATGTATAAAAGACGCCTTAATATTGTTGTCGACATGTATCGAAGACTCCTTAATATTGTTGTGAATTTTTCACCCACTGAAGAAGCCTTAATCGGCGAAACGTCTGGGTTATAGTCATTATACCTTTTTATGCCTGAGGAAGTTCACCATTCACATTCGGAAACCAGGCATGGCAACCATAACGCTTTCATATATATATATATATATATATATATATATATATATATATATATATATATATATATATATATATATATATATATATATGGTTGGAGACATATGTATGCCCCCTCTCCCCAGCTCTGTGGTACCGGGTAATTCAGTTAACAATTTCTTTCCGTAGACTTCCAGAATTTACAGAGGAGGAAAAGAAAATGTTAAAAGGAACAGCAGATTTCTTCGGACTCAACCATTATACATCAACAGTATGTGGTAACCTGACGTATTACAAGAATATCTCTGCAGTTGATTGGGATTATTGGAATGATAGAGAGATATACACCCGCAGGAATGAATCATGGCTGCGAGGTAAGTTATCTTATATGAATTCCATCAATGTAAACGTCTCGAATGCCTGGCACCTATAATTTACAAAGTCGTCCTAAAAACCTTTTCAAGTAAACCAGTAGTTGGTACGTAATTGGCTTTTTAAAGCCGCTGTTTGAGCTTGGGAATACATTACGCAGCTCAGTCTTAATCATTATCGTTCTAGATGTGATAAGTGATAATTATGTGCAGAATCATTTCTGAATCATTAAAAAATCCTTTCCTTTATAGCGTAATGCAACGATTCTAGGATGGTCGTAAAGGTTTTGATATAATATTGAATGGGGTGACGTCATAATGTTGACATGAAAATATCATATCAATAACGCTATGACGTCATAATGGAGATATGAAACAATCAAGAACTACAAGTTAGAAATGTGTTAATTATATATGAGTACGATCAGAGAGCAGGAAAAATCAAACCAGCCTTCGGCTTCAGTCGATATAAACACAAATTTCGACTTGATAATTCTTCATAACATTGTCAACCTCATTCCATATGAGATGAAAAAAAACCCCACTTAATTCTGATTGACTAAGAGCACACGTGACAAGCGCGTAAATAAGATTTTAACTAGTGACCCTCCAAACTTGTATCAAATTGTTGTGCTATTCAAGTGGTGAGTAAATTATTAATTAAAAGTGCATGGCCATGTATTTGCCTCTCCAAAATATTGTTTCATGTTTTAATATTATTAATATAAACTATATGATAAATAGCATATGCATGGTTTTCCATTTTGCAAAAACCTTTACACTGTGAGTTTTTTAGGCTTCACCAATTGTACTCGACTTACAGACTTGTGCAATTTTGATCGTCTTACATGTAAAATAACATGTTTTTTTTTCCAAATTGAATTCGAAACCGCAACATTGATACTATGTTACCTAATATACAAACAGGTAAATATTTGGCTTATTTCCAAAACCGGTTTTTGGTAGGCTTCTGTGGGAAAGAACTTTAGTTACAGTTATTTAATTATCACTGCATTTTTACATAATCATATGATAGGTGCTCCGATCTGGTTGAATAAGGTCCCTCAAGGACTTCGTAACCTTCTCTCGTATATAAAAGAAAACTATGGTAACCCTGAAATTTATATCACTGAGAACGGATGGAGTGAGAAAGGGGAAGATGAAAGAGTTGGAGAAGCAGCACTGAATGACACTGAAAGAGTGGGCTATTACACGGAGTATATTAATGAAGCACTGAAAGCAAGTGTCTTAGACGGCGTCGATCTCAAAGGTATATATATTTATAATTTCTGCATGGTTTTAGAAACTATTTAGCAGATTATTTATTTGCCCAAATTGCAATTTCATTAATTCCTGAAAGGCTAAAACCGTAAAAACATGAAGAAATCATAACCGTCAAGGAGCTTGTACTGTTATCATATGAAATCCTGATAATTTATATAACTGAACTCTCGTCAAATACCATTTGTGTTTTTAAAGATGGTTGAAGAATGCAAACGTTTGCGTCTAAATGAATCACAAGCTATAAGCCGCATGAAAAATGGGGAGGGGAGGCAAGTTCCCTCCAGCTTCCATGTTGGCCCCTCGAGTAAAGCACGCATGTAAACCATGTATTAATATATATATATATATATATATATATATATATATATATATATATATATATATATATATATATATATATATATATATATAAATTAATATGTAATAATAAGATTGTACTATATATATATATATATATATATATATATATATATATATATATTGTTTATATATCGTATATTGTTTACAGGCTATATATCGTATATTGTTTACAGGCTACTTCGCTTGGTCTCTGCTGGATAACTTCGAATGGCATACAGGATACCACGAGCGCTTTGGGATTCACAGGGTTAACTTTAGTGACCCCGAAAGGAAACGTACTCCGAAACAGTCAGCAGAGGTGTACGCAAATATTGTCGCTGACAATGGTTTTCCACCAGACAAGTCAACTGCAGGCAAAACTGGACGCGCTGCGTTGGCAGCTGTTTTGATGGCGATGCTATTCCACCTTACAAATTTTGCTCATATTTGAAAGGCTGAGCAAGAAGTCTTCGTACCATGCTTAAATATTATTACCTTGAAGAAAGCTCTTTTTAATTTACCTCTTTGTGACTGCTTTACAATTGTGCTTTATCTAAAATAGACGGCGTTGTTGTTTTAGTACGTTTTACTGTTGCATTGAATTATAACTGATGTAAGTGGAACATGTTATTCAAATGTGTGTTATTCAATCAATTATATTTTATATGTCTTACTGTTAATACTGGTTGTTCTAAATAGTAAGTTAGTACACCATGCAAAGACAACCCAGTTCCGAACCAATCTGCAAAGGTGGGAAAAAAGATCGTCCCCGGCAGCAACGGTTCTAATGGCTCACGTGATTAATTATTTTAATTCTTTGTTGGTAATGACGTACTAAACTACTATATAACTAGGTTGCCTTAGAGGTAGTGAATGCTGCCTTTTTGTCAGATTGCGGAAGAGCCCCCAAATGTCCCCACAGTCACTTTTTGTAGGGCTATGCCACCTCAAATAATCTTCACACTTTTTGAGTTGTTTTGTTCTTATTACATGACATTACATCATAATTTGTGAATGAACTTCATGTAAATATTAAAAATGGGTACCACGTTAATATGCTCTTTTGATGAAACAAACACAATTATTAAGTACTAGTTAAAACATGAGCAGCCGATCTAAATTCATATATTTACTTACCGCGCTTAGCCAAAAAAACATTCTGTATTTCATATCGAGAAAAACACTTGAATATCTTCTAAACTCTTCAGAATTTGTTCAGAGTGAATGTGAGTAAAATACTCCTTGTATTCAAGCGCTTTCATATAGAAAGTTTCGTTTGAATACGGCAAGTAAAAATATTTATTTTGAATTTTTCAAAATATCAGGTTTTTACTCGCACGCACGCGCCCGTGTATGCTTGGCCATATAAAGACTATAAAGAGAACAAGAGAATCGAATAGCACGTACTGGAACTACTGTGAGTACTTTGACCTGCAGAATCGATTTCCGGTTTTTCCAGACCCCTAGGATGTAAACAGCGCTTTGTTTTGATGTACGTTTCACGGGCCGCGCTAAAAATATAAATATTCTGTAAATACCGAAATAAAAGATGAAAATCTCAAGACACTAGCTTGAAAATAACACTCTATGACACTCTAAATAGTGTTTTGGATTCTGGTTCGAGTAAGACTATTACGAAAAAGATATGTCCAAAGACCAAAGGGGCCGAAGTTATGTTCGGCGAAATGTATTGCTTTGGCTAGTTTGCATTGTTCGAATATAAGAAATATGATACCGCTTGACCTCTCGAAGGTCATAAATAGCTATAAATATCCATTGTGGACATTTGACTAAAACTATAGTTTAGTGTGGGAATTAGGAGATTTTGTTCCACTGAATCGAATGGTAGTATTTTTGTCTTCATAGCATACACTGAACCGAAGATATGAACCTTGCAAAGTCATAGAATTGAGAGATATCAGAAGTTGATTCACGCATAGCATTGTGGGTCTATCTAATATTTGACCACAATGCAATGCGCTAAGGCAAAATTTAAAAAATTCCCAACTACATCAATTAGGCTGCTGCCTTGCTCGCTCGCTGAGGGCTCGCTCGCTGCGGCAGCAACCACTTGGGCATTTACCCCTGTAAGCGGCCCTTTGCTTGCCCTAGTATAGTGAAGCAATTAATACTTTCAGATGAGCTGGGCCCTTTCGATCATTAGTAAAAAGTCATCCATGTTGAAAAAGCTGCACTGCCTGCTCTCTCGTGTCCTCTCACATTCTCGACATTCATCTTATAAAAGTCAGCACATTATGCATGGTCTTTATATGTACGCGTAATTGTGTGGGAGGAAGGCCCTCATTGAGACTTAGTAGAGGCCCCAGTAGTTGTAATGTCTTAAAAAATGCCCTGTCGGCAGGTATGACAAACTAGGGATCCAAGGATAGTGTGAAGTTTCAAATTTAAAAAGACATTGCAAGAACTATATAGGGTCGCCGACAACCTAGAGAAGCTTGATGACTTACACTACGAAATAAACAGTTACTAAAGGCATTTCATCTCATTATTTATTGCTTTTAATACGCTCGACACACGAGTAGCGTGACGTTTGAAACAAGCCTAACACATCAGAAACGTGCCTTGTGAAATTGATGCAATTCATCTATTTATTGTGTCACCAAGAACCAAATTTTGCATATTCTAAATTTTCATTTGCATTTGCAGCTGTCGCTGAAAGCATCCCCACGAGCCTACTGCTATGCTAAATTTATCTAATAAACTATAATTGAAATAGCTGTATAAGATATGTTATGAATAATAAGCACTACGTCGTTACATCATTAAAAGACGCATTTTATCCTCATCCGTTCCGTATTTTATCCGCATATCCGTTCCGTAGATCCGCTCCATCCGCTTCCGCATTTTAACTTAATTGTGACATGTTTCACAATAACAAGTTTCATTGACCTTTGACTTTTCCCAGTGTGACGTGTGTCTATTTTCAGCTTTTCGCATGTGTTGAATATAATAGTTTCACAGTTATAGCAGTGTTTAAAACATTTTTGGCAAGCTTTGATACAATTCTGTGTACAGAATACTACAGATTGATTCTCGTAAGATCTGGTAGAGTTATCGTTGCACTGAATACGAGTTTGCACCGTTGACAACGGCGTTGTGCTAGACACTAGACAGTAAACAAAGACAAGGACAAGGTCCGTGAATGTACACGTTGGCTACATGTACCTCCTTGCTTTTTTCTTCTATTAGTCTAGGACCTGTATATGAGTTTGTATGCATTTCATTTAGGACAGATAATCTCAACTGTTTTAGGGCAAGTTGACCATGACGGTCAACATGGTAACGCTGCCCGAACCCCAATCCGGGACGAAACATCCGAAACTGACCACACCCAAAAACGACGCTTTCGCCATACTGCTATCTACCAAACCATAAAAGCTTTGGCTATTCTGAGGTGCTTACATGGTTCAGAGATGGTACTATTGGGGGTGGTCATTGGTAAGTGTGAAATGCCTAGCACTTATATTTCACATGAAAATGGCCATGCAATAATCATAGTTAAACGTCAATTTGTGGCTTGCAAATTCAGATAAACAGCAGTGGACTTACATTACCTTTTTCCCTAAATCTTTTTGATAGAAACATAAATGGTACTTAGTTAAATATATTATCACTGGTTTGGTGTAAAATAGTTAATATTTTCTGACCGAAATAATAATTTGAAATGTGCCTACCTCCTGCAAATGGACGTATTTGGCCAAGTTCTCCACTTTACTCCGCTGTTTATCGGCGATCTCGTCGATATCCTACAAAAAATGTAAATCATCTCAGACATAATGGTATCAAGAACATTTTAAACAAGTTTCAACTTGGTTTCAAGTAGATCATACCTGTTTAACCATCGACAAGGTAAATCAACAACTTTGTCCAAATTCGGCGCCATTTTGTCATCCCATGTCGCTTGTTAACAATTCAGCATTATTACTCTTCCATCCAAGCCATTTCCATTCCACTAATAATAAATTTAACCCTTTATAACAGGAGGAAACTAAAAAATCTAAACAAAATATAAGAAATTCGCCATTTTATCACCCTGTAAAATTTCGCTCACGAGTCTTTCAAAACATTCCATACAAATCTCGCGTGGTTTAGCAACAGGGACTTGCAGGGGGGGTAGAGACTTGAAAAATGAAAGCCCATACAGTATGGTAAAACCAACAATCAACATTTAATTTGCATGACTTTTTCATATTAATAAATAATAAATGTATATATTTGTCACTACAAGAAATAAAACAAACATTTGTATGATTGTATTTAACTTTTAGTCTATTTCACGCGGCCTTCTTCTATCTTCGTGAAATAATTCACCCCCTCCTGTCACGTCCCTGTTACTTTGTCACGCGATATTTGTACGGAACGTTTTGAAAGACTCGTGAGCGAAATTTTACAGGGTGATAAAATGGCGAATTTCTAATGTTTTGTTTAGATTTTTTAGTTTCCTCCTGTTATAAAGGGTTAAATTTATTATTAGTGGAATGGAAATGGCTTGGATGGAAGAGTAACAAGGCTGAATTGTTAACAAGCGACATGGGATGACAAAATGGCGCCGAATTTGGACAAAGTTGTGGATTTACCTTGTCGATGGTTAAACAGGTATGATCTACTTGAAACCAAGTTGAAACTTGTTTAAAATGTTCTTGATACCATTATGTCTGAGATGATTTACATTTTTTGTAGGATGTCGACGAGATCGCCGATAAACAGCGGAGTAAAGTGGAGAACTTGGCCAAATACGTCCATTTGCAGGAGGTAGGCACATTTCAAATTATTATTTCGGTCAGAAAATATTAACTATTTTACACCAAACCAGTGATAATATATTTAAATAAGTACCATTTATGTTTCTATCAAAAAGATTTAGGGAAAAAGGTAATGTAAGTCCACTGCTGTTTATCTGAATTTGCAAGCCACAAATTGACGTTTAACTATGATTATTGCATGGCCATTTTCATGTGAAATATTAGTGCTAGGCATTTCACACTTACCAATGACCACCCCCAATAGTACCATCTCTGAACCATGTAAGCACCTCAGAATAGCCAAAGCTTTTATGGTTTGGTAGATAGCAGTATGGCGAAAGCGTCGTTTTTGGGTGTGGTCAGTTTCGGACGTTTCGTCCCGGATTGGGGTTCGGGCAGCGTTACCATGTTGACCGTCATGGTCAACTTGCCCTAAAACAGTTGAGATTATCTGTCCTAAATGAAATGCATACAAACTCATATACAGGTCCTAGACTATATTGCATAAAGCTTGTTGGCGAGCCAATTAAGCGATTAGCGATAACGCGTTGGCGATAACACCTAAACACGTTGGCTATCTCCTCGTCTTTCTTATTTATACAAGGAGCTCTGACTCAACTGATTCCTTTAGTCTCGTAAGTTTTTTTCTTCGTAAACGCCGTACAAACGTTTACCCGCTTCTGTTTAATAGTTGTTTATGCTTTATTGATCTGATACAAATCTGATGCAATTTTTCGCTCTTTGACTTTGTACTGAGTATAGCCATCTATTCTGTGATGTAGCACCTTATACAGTCAATGAGAATGTATGATATAACATCAATTTATATATTGTATTACTATTATTGCGTAGAATCTCAAAGATTTTGTCAATATTCATGTCTGAAATGTTTATATACTTGAAAACAACACTGTCTCGCTTCTGCCTGCACGTACTGTACCTCTGTATAATGAGTATGCCGTGAAAAAATAATATCGGCACTCAATTGAATGCCTAGAAGCAAGATTTTCGACTCAATATTTACGTC